CACAGCCCGAGTAACCGGGCTTTACTTCGAAGGGTTCTGTCGCGATAAACGCACCGAACTCTAGCCTACACTTGCACTTTCTATATCGATCTGCTCGTTCTCCTCCCGCAGGACCAGTTCGTTCACCCTCGAATCCAACGTTCGCTTTCCAATACGCGACGTTTCCTCCGCGCTACGTACGACCAATTCATCGCTGTCGCGTTTCTCCTTTCTTTCTCCTATTGCCGCGTTTCTTCCACTTGCTATATACGTCGATCATATACGCGGCAAAGAATACGCTACGAGTCGTATTTTACTTTTTCTCCCCTGCGAAACGTCGAAAAACTATGTTACGTACGTACGAAGCTGCTGTTTTCGCATATCGTCTTAACGTACCGATCCGACTGGTCGTGTTTCTTCTTATCCCGCTCGTATTTTTCAACAGCAAATTGAGGTAACGCTTTAGATTCGATTACGAGAATAATTACGAATCTTTCCTCGGTTCTTTAAGAGAGTGCACGTTTTACAGTCACCACTTGGTGAATATCACCGGCGAACCGCACGCATCAAAGAATCTTATCGATTTCGCGCGTGATCACGGCACCGGAATGCGTGTAATTCGTTCAAACGTGCGCGATTATGTTTCCGCGCGATGGAAAAACGAAGAGAGGCGCGAACAAATGCCGCGAAGTAATCGTTACGAGGTTGCAGGTGGAGAGCTCGCGGTAGACCAAGTATAATTACGAGCAAGAGGGAAAGTGCGAGGGGTCTAGGATTTTGTGGCTCTCAGGCAAGCAGAGTTTATCTTGCGTGGATCGATATACCCTGAGCCCTTCGATGCAACGTAAACGCAACCCGGCGCGTTTATTAAAGCGAAACTTTGAATCCCCTTAAACCACCCATCTCGAAGATAATTATAACAAATAATAAACGACGCTTTTTAATCGAACGCGTATCTCTTTTTCCGCTTTCTTTTTCTTTTCTTCCCTTTCTCTCTCTCTCTCTTTCTTTCTTTCTTTTTTTTCTTTTTTTTTTTTTTTGTTTTTGTCAAACAAAATCGATTCGCCGTTAACGTAACCATTGACTTTGCTATTTCGATCGGTTGGCGTTCGATGTACGAGTCGTTGGACAAACTGGTTTCCCGTGTACGCGTTTTCTCGCCGAGTCGTTAATTAATCTCTCGTCACAGTACCACCGCGTATAAACGTCCTCTGTGTCGAGTAAATTAGCCGGAGCAGCCCGATTGCCTCGATAACTCGGTCGGCTAGAAATTCTCCAATGGTCGATATATCTGCCATAGATGTTATTTTTTTTTTTTTTTTTTTTTTTTTTTTTTTTTTTTTTGTTTTTGTCAAACAAAATCGATTCGCCGTTAACGTAACCATTGACTTTGCTATTTCGATCGGTTGGCGTTCGATGTACGAGTCGTTGGACAAACTGGTTTCCCGTGTACGCGTTTTCTCGCCGAGTCGTTAATTAATCTCTCGTCACAGTACCACCGCGTATAAACGTCCTCTGTGTCGAGTAAATTAGCCGGAGCAGCCCGATTGCCTCGATAACTCGGTCGGCTAGAAATTCTCCAATGGTCGATATATCTGCCATAGATGTTAAAACGATCCTTTGATTCTGTTGTTGCAGGTCGTGCAGAATGGTTTAGAAATCCTCACGTTTCTCGCGGATCGAATGGGTCACGACTTCAAGCCTTACATTTCCACTATTATTCAGCCAACGATAGACAGACTAGGTAGGTGTCTCCAACTTTCTTCCAGCTATTCGTCGTTAAATGCGTAAATTATTCTTAATAACGGAAACCGAACTCGTTGCTATCGGAAATTCTTTCGCTGCTTACCGAAATCCCACTCGAGCCATCGTACGTTGTGTAGCTTTAACCGCGTATTACGAATACCCTTTATTTCCTTCGGTATCGTTTATAGCGTTATAGCGAGAGATGCGATTAAGAATATCGACGATACGCGTATATTGCGATAGGTGACAGCAAGGATGCGACACGGGAAAAGGCGCAACTGGTGCTTCTCAAAATAATGGAGAAAGGGTGTATGTCTCCTCAACAACTCTTGGACAGACTGCGACCGGCCTTTAGTCACAAAAATGCAAAGTTACGAGAGGAAGCACTGATTCTACTAACCACGACGTTGAACGAGTAAGAAACTGCGACAAATTACTAGAAAACGAAAGAAACATTCTTGCACGGCTAGAAATCGCTCGTTGAATCTTTGTAACGATGAATCTTTTTACAGGCACGGCGCTGATGAAATGATACTGTCCGGAGTGATTCCAAGTATCGTGAAATTATTATCGGATCCATCCGAAAAAGTGCGAGAAACTGCTTTAAACACATTGGCGGATATCTACAGACACGTTGGTGAAAGATTACGAGTGGATTTGCAGAGAAAGCACAATGTACCGCAAGCTAAGTGAGTGAAAAAGCGAAATCGATTGCCTGCTTCTGGCCGGCATTTCTTTCGTTAAATGTTACTTTCTTTTAAATTAGCTAAAACAACTTCACCGTCGACCATTTCCAATCGTTTACTCGCAAGCTTGCTAATTGCTTTATCGGTTATATTTTACGGTTCAATTCGAAGAATTGCATGTGTAATTGCGCGCATTCCAACCAGCCAATACGTTCGATCTTGCGTTGCAGATTGCTGTTGCTGATAGAAAAATTCGATCAGCTGAAAGCCGCTGGCGACTTGCTGCCTCTGGCCATGTCTTCGGACGGTGAGTAAATTCGTCGAATTTCCTTCTCAGCAGGTATCCAGCAAATTAAGTCAGCAAAGGCGTAAAAACCGACGCGACACGCGTCACCTCCGTTATATTATTCAAGCTGTATCGTGCTGCCATCCCGCAGCCATCCACGCTATCGCGTTGGAATACCTTCGCATTCGAGAACGCCAACCTTCGTTTTTTCTTTCCTCGCCCCTTGCTCGGTCATACGCGTACGCGCACACTCCCACCGGGCCTCTCTTCTGCATTGTTCACGTTGCCGATACACACGATGAATATTTAACAAGGACCGCTTGTTCTTCCACGTGATAGGAATATTCGCTCGATTCAGCGCGGTAAAACACGGTCAATTTGAATTTAATTACGTCGCACTGGCGCGTCTTTTGCTCCAACTTCTGGTTTCGTGCTAACCGATGCGCGCGTTTCTTCTTTCCCGCTGTACGTAACAGTTTGCTCGACGACTTGCCTCTCCAGATTCTCCAGATCGTTCGTTCTCCCGCAAACGTGCGCCTAATATCTCCGCGTATCTGATCGCGGATGTCTTTCGTCGAACAGCCGGATCGCGAGCTCCGCGGACAGGGTTGGCAAACTTTAGTTTGCCAGGCAAAGTCTCTCGCAGTTTCGCATAAGGCGTCGTTTCCATCATCGACCAACCAACTAACCATATTACTAATTCGCGTCGTCTATTCTAAGATGTTACATAAGATATTACGTACACCGACAGGCACGGTGGTGCGATACCGTGCAATATCGCCGGTGTATTGTTTCAAACGTTGTCCGTAATTCATACCGTGCCAAAGCTGTCCTGCCTGTTTTTTCTTTAAACCAACGACCTTGCAACGTTGTAACTGGCTACTGTCAGGGTATTCGAATTTCGATCGCAAATATTACGTGTCGCCGGCAATCGAATACTCGACGTATTAGTTCCAAAGCTGTCGATGCAATGAAAAAAAAAAAAAAAAAAGAAATAAATAAAAAGTACGCGCAAACCGAGATTTTCGACGAGTCACGATGCTCATTCGACGCGTTCCATCGTATAATTAATAATCCTTGCCCCTTGAAGAGGTGAAAAACGCGCTTCTCTTGCGTAACGATAACGATAACGATATATCGGCGGAGTGTACATCTTGGTATTTACTATATATTTGTATTTACTTTTCGGCCAAGCATACTTTGCGAACAAAATTTTTGCGTATTTGCAATACGCGATACGACAAGGCATTCGCGTTTAAAGACGAAACACGTTTCTTCTTCTCCGACACTCGATCGCGATTAGGTCATACATGGGCTTGGCAGGGGAATTACGGTTCTTCGCTTGATTTCAGATATATTAATAGAACACGAAATTACCACGAATCATTTCCCGTCTCGTTTTTCCGTCTGCGAGTCGTTATCCATCATTTTCATCCTCGTCGTTGGATAATTCTTCCCTTCGGCAACTCGGTGAAACTCGCTATTCCGCTTTTTCCAGAAAACGAAACGAACGCACCCGGGCGAAGGAAATATTTTTCCCAGTATATCCGAGCCGAGTCGCTCTTGTCACGCGACCACGCGAATATCTTTTTCGGCCGTACGGAATTTGCAGGTATCGCTAATTATAGTAGTAGTAGTAGTAGTAGTAGAATCCTTGCGAGTACGCGACGCGCGACACGGAAAGATCGAGCCGCGCGAATACGCCGCTGCGAAAGATTCGCACGAGCCTCTCTTTCCCCGTGACTCGTCGTCACGAGGACGGAAGGAAAACACTCTGCCTGATCTGTCCGTCGTTTTATAGCGTGTCGTACTTGATATCGAAGCAGCCGTTCCTTCGATCGGTAATCGGCAATTTCATCGAAACGATTTAATGGCCTGTCCGATCGATCGTCTAAGATCATCCAAGATCATCCGAGATCATCCAAGATCATCAAAGATCAGCTAAGATCAGCTAAGATCATCCAAGATCATCCAAGATCATCCAAGATCATCCAAGATCATCAAAGATCAGCTAAGATCATCCAAGATAATCAAAGATCAACTAAGATCAGCTAAGATCAGTTGGGAAGGACGTTTCTCCTCTGCCAGCTACGACATAAAAATGTCTCCGCAAGGTGCATTTCTGCGGCACCGGTTGCTTTCTCGGGACAGAGATTACTCGCCCTAGCCTTTACCGTTCGATCGTATTTAGCACCCACACCGTTCAGCTTCGACTCGCTTTCGTATCGTGCGACCTTATACCCCGAGGACAGCGCGTGAGACGCGTGTAGAGTATACGGGAGAAGCGAAAGGTAGGGTGGCAACGAACATTTATCTTTACCGTGCACTCTTCTCTCTTCTCTCTTTTCTCTTCTCCCATCTCTCTTCTCTAGTGGAGTACTAAGCGCTGGATAGCGCACGGATGCCCTTTTTATCCTCTCTCGTCGACTCTCGCTGACATTCTGCGCGGGCTCGGAACGACGTTCGCGCTTAGCCTATCGGCGGAAGCGGCGATTCCACGGGTGGCAAGCAACGTCGTGCACCATCGGTGGACGGAGACTACCAGCTACGGAACGCGAGAAAACTGAAAGTAAGGGTCCTACCTGGGAAGATTCGTTGCTCGTTGTACACGCTTTCCTGTACTACGAGCGATATCGGTGCGAAGAAAGTGAATCGAAGAAAACGCGCTTTTAAGGGAGAAAACGGAAGGCTCGATCGACTAATTACATTAACGGAGTATCAATGGTTAAGCGATACGAGTTGCCCGCAACCACGACGAAACCATATTTTCATCCGATAATGCCAACAGTGTGTACAATAACGTACATGCTGGAACGTACAGTACGCGTTATGTAATATCGAGGATAGGATTATCGCGTTCGAAGCGCGCTGTTCGCGTGGCTGATTTTTTCTTCTTCTTCTTCTTTTTCTTCTTTTGCTTCTTTTTCTTCTTTTTCTTCTTGTCTCTAGCAACGATTAACGATCGTTCCGTGGAATTGGCATTCGCGGTTTCCTTTTTCCTCCGCCGCTCTTGCGTCGTAGCTGCTGCTGCGATACCAGCTGGCGATACAATGAGAGAACGATACGTCTTTCTCTTGACTCGGCTTTCTTCGATGGGGAAACGGAAGCATCGTATCTTGTAAATCTCTTTGATAAATAAAAACAATAAATAACGTTACTTTCACCAAGCAACGACAGAAACGTCTGTCAATAACGGCAAATAGTAAATACGATTTCAGCGAAGAAATCAGCGTGACTGCGTCTCGTATTCCATCCGTAATTTATTCTGCGCTCGATTCACGATGAATTTCTCAGAAGAAGGTGAGACGGTGATCGTCGGTCCCGCGCTTCCTATCAATTACACCGTTCCACGCAACCTTCCACGTAATTACAAATATTTCGAACGAGTCGTCGTACGTGAAACAATCGATCGATCGGCCCGAGGGAAAACCACCGACCAGCTATCCCAATTCCATCCTTTTTCCCTTCTAATTATCCAACACGACCAAGTTCTTCTCTCTCTCTAGGACACTCGATAACGTTTCTAAAGCCATACGAAACCAATTTGAAGGTGGTTGCTTCTTAATCGCCGAATAGAAATCTTCGTCGGCACTTTACGTATCGGCCGAACCTGCTTTTTCGTTTTTCACCGTTCTATTCGCGTTGACTCGTTGCCGCGGAATCTTTGCCCGACTCTCGATGACGCTATTGCACACTGTATACCACGTATACGTGCATGTACGCGATTTATCGCGCATAAACATCGTAATCGCCGCTTACTTTCCTTTCCATGCCGCGGTACATCTCGAATTCGATTGCACGCCGATGCGCCACCGACTCGTCTTGATCGCGTAGATTATCGGAAATTATTTTGTCGCATCGTCTCGGCAGGTGGTCG